TTACCCAAAAGAGCATCTTCAGGAAACAGAGAGCAATAGAGGAAACATGATTTAAGATGCTCCCCATTTAAACTATCATAGCTATATTTCAAAATCGGAAGAATCTCATCTTCCATGCCTGAAAATTCTGCCGCAGATGAAGTCAAAACGTCAATTGCTCGATGCCACTCTTGTACTGTGCTTTTGCACGCCATAGTTTCGCCAATGACATTGAGTGCCAATGGTAGGCCACAGCATTTTCCAGCGACTTTTTTTGCGAGTTTGGGAATGTCTGGGTGGCTTCCTAATGTGTTTTCCCCGACTTTCTTTTTGAACAAATCCCAAGCTTTGTCAGTGTCCAGACAGCTGACTTGGATTGGGTCATCAACCCCCATGCGTCCACACACATCTCGAGAACGGGTGGTAAATGCTACTTTGCATCCGTTTTCTCTGTTTGGATACGGAACTCCAATTACGTTTAAGTTCACTTTCTCCCATATGTCATCCAAAAACAACACAAACTTTTTCCTCCTAAGAACGTTGTGAATGTCAAGGGCTCTTTGCTTGTCATTTTTCTCGTCCCATTCTCTCCCCCCAAGGCCTAGTTTCTTCGCGATATCTCCTTGAATCTTATGAACTGTTGCATTTTTAGACACCAAAACCCATATCACGACATCAAATCTGCTACCTTCTTTAGAAAACTTATTGTTGATCTGCGTGAGAAGGGTGGTTTTCCCTACTCCACCCATACCATACAGACCCACAATCCCAACTCTATCTTCCATTAGACGGTACCATGCCCTTTCAAGCATTGTTTCCTGACCAACAATTGTTGATTGAATAGGCAACTGTTCAACCTCAGCTCTTGGAAATCCCTCAGTCACCTCATCAAATTGTCCTTGACAACTAAGACTCTCAACTTCCCTCAACAACAGAATAACCTTTTTGCCATAACGATAGCTCGATTTCACATTTCTAGAGCAAAATCCACAGAGACACAACCTTTGAAGCTCATCGTTATTAGTGCTAAGCAGATCATTAAATTGGTTTTCGATGGTTAGGATACTCGAAAGCCATACCTGGACTTGAGCAAGCCTTCGACGATGCCCAGTAAACTCTTCTCTGTCTACCCTTCCATGAACATCATCTCTCTTTGCCTTGAGCACTCCCATGGCTTTCTCGAGAGATGCTAGATTCTCGGGGAGGTTGTGAATATAACTCCCCTTGAGGCATAAGCACTGGGAGACTTGATTCACCAATTGATCGCATGACATTGAGACCGAGAAACAGCCTCCCATTGCTGCACAACAC